AAAAAATTCTATCGTCTAGAAAACAACCATAAATATGCTGAACAACGCATGGATTCATCTATGGATAATGTTAACAACGTGTGGCAAAAGGCGAAAGACGTTGCCGCCGATGCTTGGCAATCAGCGAAAGACACAGGTAGCAGTGCTGCAGAGACCTTAAAAGATGCAGCCTCATCAACTACGGAGAAGACCAAAGAGGCTTATCATGACACAAAGGAAGCTGTGAAGAGCGGCTTCCAAGAAGTAAAGGAGGCTGCGAAGGATACTTACTACGAAAAAACGGGCTCAGCTAAGGAGAAGTTGCGTGATGCCAAAGAAATGGTGAAGGATAAGTATTATGATGCCAAAATTGCTGCAAGCGACGCTGACCATGAAGGTAAACATGCAACGAAAACGGGCTACAATGAAATGCGTAGATCTTTCGACCACGCTTACGATAATGTGAAAGTCGATGCAAACGAACACTACAGACCTGGTGCACGACGAAATTCAGCACCGTACGAAAGAAATGAACAGACGTATACGTTAGAATATGATGGCGGTTCACCACAAAGCGCATTACCAAAGGTCTAATCTCCCTCTGATGTAAAATTGACTTTTTTCTCAGTACTTAAACTTTGAGCAGCAAATTCTGAAAAAATAATACTTCGAGATATTTTTTAGCCAACAATCGGTTGTGGATATGCTGCTGGTGAGGCAAGACAGATTGAGAAAATGATGGAGCGTGATCCGAATTTGCGGCCAAATATAACCGACGAAAGGGCCGGTGAGCAATTATACATGGTCATTCAAAAAAATTTTTTTCAATGATAATATACCTGACTGCGTTTAGAGCGACTTGGTCGTCTGAGTGACGATGGAATTACTAAAGACAACAGCGCTGTAGCTAGGGCTAGAAAGTCGCTGAAGAACGCTTGGGGAAGTTTTAGAGGAAATGCAAATGATGTTTGGGAAGGAGCGAAAGAAGAGGTATTTTATTCATAAAAGTTTAATGTTAATTAATGGTAATAAACAGCAGGACTATTCTGATGGGAGTTAAGGTGACGTACAAGCAAGCGATCACTGTTTCAAGTTATAGTAGCGCTTCCTAACTCTGAATATTGACACTTATCGTAATAGAAGAGTTTTTTGTACTAATGAGATCGTGGATTTCAGGTAGTACAAGAGGAGGAAGCATTTGGATCGGAGACGCGGTCTAGGTTTTAAAAATCCCGTTGTTTCTTTTATTGAAACTGTCAATATACAGCAATGAAGGTCAGCCTGCTGTTTGATAAATGTAAATTTTTACGAAGCTCGCAACTTCTAGATTTTGTACCTCATACGACCAAAAATCGTGGAGAGGGAGAAAGTCCAGCTTTACTTTTATGTGAATGTAGATATCCTGTTGTTAACTGGGTTTTTTTTTTCAATATTGTACTATTGTTTATTTATGATTAAGTCACTGTATGTGTATAGTGGCCTTTTGGTGGGTGCGTGTATATATTTTATTGAAGTGTTGAGCCAACATATTCGTTCCGGGCAATGGTGATAAAAAAGTTACAATCACACGGCTCATGCCCATGCTGTCTAACTGCATGCACTCAAAATCTCACGAAAGACAGATGGATTCTACACCATTGCTGTAATGAATCTGAAAAACATGGAGATTTGTCAGCAGGAATTGATTAACCTAAACCAAACCTTGCTCGGAGAAAGTCTCCGCGACGAGTTATAGTTTGCAGTATCCAATTATATCTCGTTTTTTTCATTGTTTCTTCTATTTCTGTATTTTGGTTTTTATGCATTTACTATTTGATTGGATATAAACGATTGGTTTTGGAAATGAATTATTGAAGCATATTTCTCTCGAATTTCGCGCTTACTATTTTTTAAGGGATTTGTTTTGTACATTATGGACCACTAAGGTCGAGAGAGTGATTCGAAATGTTTTTGCGTCACTTTAACATCATATCACGGGTGAAATCGCTGAAATAATTTGTCGCTTGGAAGAAGTGGTGGTTAGCAATGAAAACTGATCTGTTTTCGTCGAAAATGACGTCATTTTTTAATGCAAAATTTTTTGCAAATATTTTCTGCAAAACACAATCGTGGCGAGCGTTGTTTACCAAAGGGCAAACAAAGCAAAGGGAATTTGCAAAAAAAAAAAAAAAAACGGTGACGTCATGGCATGGCTGGGAAACCCCTTGTCTTTTATTCGTTGGGAACGCCGAACATTCCCTCCGCGATGTAAACAAACAGTAGAAATGCCTGCAGTGGACCGAAAGGTTAATGCTGCTGGGCCAACTACGGTCATCAGTGGCTAATTTCAACTCATTTCAGCACTTCTTTTTGACTGTTTTGCGTAGGAACCTTTGTCAAATCGGGCGATTTGTATCTGCACGCGGCTTACGCATTGTCCAGTCTAATGTAATGTCACCGACAAATTTTGCCCAGACTTCCTGATCTTAATAAAAAAAAACAACTATGAGTGTTTTCGAAATGCTTCCGCTAACAAGTCTGGTACCTATATTAAAAAAGCCGAAAGTGTGCAATTAGTTCGAGATAGGATTATCCTTACATAAATTGATTATCATCAATTAGTTGGTCAAAAAAAAGTGTAATGATTTCCCTGCAATACAACAT